TTGTTGTGGAGATACCCGTGTGCTGCTTGAAACATTTTAGAACGAAAACGAAGCTGACTAACAAAACCATAGTATTTGTAATCCTGCGTTCAAGGAAATGGTAGCATAGTACTTGCCGTCAAAATTTGATTAAGGGTGAAATTTCTGTGTCCACCAACGTCTAAAAAACCTAAGTTTGCACGAATTTCTAGTAAGCTCTTGAATGGTTGGGTCGAGTTGTTCATTCGGGTAGCATCGTAAAATTGGGTATCATCAGTCTACAATACAAAAGTTTTTTTAGATGAAATTCGCACTGGAACTTATAAGCATCTCTTCCACCCTGAACAGATGATCACTGGAAAAGAAGATGCTGCAAATAATTATGCACGTGGACATTACACTGTTGGAAAGGTAAGGATTCATTCTGTCTTTGCGTGCTAAATTAAAGAGGAAACTTTCTAGGAAATTATCGATCTCGTGTTGGACCGAACGCGTCGTCTTGCTGACAATTGCTCTGGACTGCAGGGCTTCCTGATTTTCCACTCATTTGGAGGAGGTACTGGTTCTGGATTCACTTCTTTGCTAATGGAACGTCTTTCTGTTGATTATGGGAAGAAAAGCAAGCTCGAATTCTCAATCTATCCAGCACCTCAAGTGAGATTTCATGTTGTTTAGGTTAATGATGGTTAGCAAATCTGTCTATACCAGGTTTCCACCGCAGTAGTTGAGCCATACAATTCAATTCTCACTACTCACACCACCCTTGAGCATTCTGACTGCGCCTTCATGGTTGATAATGAAGCCATCTATGATATCTGTCGTCGCAATCTCGATGTTGAGAGACCTAGCTACACAAACCTTAACAGAATCATCTCCCAGGTGATCAACTACTCCCATGAATTCAGCATATCTTCTGTACAGCGGTCTTTGAGTTTAGGTTGTATCGTCGATCACGGCGTCACTCCGTTTCGAAGGTGCTCTGAATGTTGATCTCACTGAATTCCAAACAAATCTCGTTCCATATCCTCGCATTCACTTCCCTCTTGCTACGTACTCTCCTCTTATCTCTGCAGAAAAGGTGGGTATATTCACCAAATTTCTTCAATGATTTTTTTACGACTATCCGTTCCAGGCCTACCATGAAGCACTATCTGTGAGTGACATCACAAACATGTGCTTCGAGCCTGCCAATCAAATGGTCAAATGTGATCCTCGCAATGGAAAGTACATGGCCGTATGTTTGTTGTATCGCGGAGACGTCGTTCCAAAGGATGTGAACCAGTCTATTTCTGCTATTAAAGCTAAGCGCACCATTCAATTCGTCGATTGGTGTCCTACTGGATTCAAGGTATCCCTTAAAGATTATGTTGCCATCCATAAGGATGTGACCATACTACAGCTGTTGGCTAACAGAAGTGGATACTTTTTGAAGCATAGATGAAACAGGCAGAAGTGGTGTAAGAAGCGATTAACGGCGTAGTATGGTTGGCTCCTAAAACCTGTATCTGACTTCCCACCAAATTTTACTTATTTCATCTACCATCGATACTCACACGCTCGCGCATTGTTGCTACAGCTGTTTTGAAAGAAACTGCTCTCAGGTTGGAATCAACTACCAGCCTCCTACCGTTGTTCCCGGTGGTGACATCGCCAAGGTACCTCGTGCTGTATGCATGTTGTCGAACACGACTGCTATAGCTGAAGCATGGGCTCGTCTTGATCACAAATTTGACTTGATGTACGCCAAACGCGCATTTGTCCACTGGTAAAGTTTTTTGATGTTGCCGCTGCCATCATCAGTTGGATAACGTCCTAAATCGTCCAGGTATGTCGGTGAGGGTATGGAAGAAGGAGAGTTCAGTGAGGCACGCGAGGACCTTGCAGCCCTCGAAAAAGATTATGAAGAGGTAACTTTTCATTTGTTGCAGGATTTCCCAGCAACAATGTTGATCCGTGAACCTCTATGTATTTTTGTAGGTTGGACTTGACTCGAACGAGGGTGCGTATGAGGAGGGAGAGGAGTACTGAACGTTGGCGCGGAGACCGGTCTCTCTGTTGTTATAATAAAAGTACTTTGTGCTATTTGTTTTGTAAATAAATCGATCACTCGGCGATAGTATATTTACTTTTATCTTTTTAATACAATATTGGTAGTAAGTTTCGAACTATATAGGCATATTGATGGGATGTCAGATGGCGTGAACTCCGTTGTTAGCATATCAACAATCAGTGATAATGGTAATTGAAGATTTAAGTCGGTTGTGAATCAATTTTTCCTAGTTTTTGTTCTGGTTTTGGTTTATCAGATTAGTCATGATAGTCAGTATAATGCGGTGTTTGCGTAGAATGTAGTTAATAGTGAAAAATGGAACTCCTGTCAAGTT